ACTAGCTTATGGCCTATGTAAGGCAAAAATTTGAACTGTATGCATTTTTAAATATATTTTGTACTAACTCAAGGTAAAGCAGTGCCTTTGACTTTAATGCTTCATATTTAAGAGAAAGAAGAAAAAAATTCAAAGCATCTAGATGCTGAGTGGCTTGTGGTTTGAAACGCATGTGCTTTCACCTGTAGCCACTGTGGTGGCAAGATCCATTTGCTAAGCATCATGGGAGGGCATTGGTAAGAACCATGAGTAAATGATTTAAATAAATAAATAAACAGAGGTCACAAATAAATGGAGCAGGCATGAGAAAAAATAGTTGGCACTTTGAATATTTAGGAGGGGATATTCGGCCAAGTTATTAAGGAAGTTTTTATAGAGTAGAAGGCAAAGAATTTTAAATACTCCTAGTGATTGTAACCAGGAAAAACACAATATGCCACATAGCTCTTGATACATTTCAAAATTATTCCTTAACTATGTATTAAGTTTTGCTCATCAAAAGTGTGATCACAAGAATCAAAATAAAATATAAAGTCCTAATAAACCTTCGGAAAAGTACTCAGTACAACCAGTAGTTAAAAATGCAAGTAAAAATGAAAGAGTACTGTCTTTCTAAGATAGTCAGACTTAAAAATATTTACTATGGATAAATTTTTCCAGAAATGATATGAAATTTCTATCAAATATTCTGTAAAAGTTCACCACCCTGCATTTAGCAGTTCTCTAAAATTCTAGCATGCAAAGATCTGTGTGTAATAATATTGTACAAAATATTTAAAATAAAAGTTCAGATGATTAAATGCATTAATGTGCATTCATTACATGAAACGTTATTAAAATGTTTCAAAATATTTTTAGAAAATGTTTCATGACATGAGGATATGGCTGTAGTTAAGGGAATGTGAAATGCTACAAAATTATACATAGGTTCTAGCTCAGTCTTGTTAAGACAAATGAAATACTAAAGGGAATTATATAAAACACAAAGAGCTTCTCTCTGTGTTTTAGGGTTATCAGATATTATATATGTATGTCTTTTAAATTATCTTGAATAAGCATATATTACTGTTACAGTTAAAACTGTTGTGAATTATTTCCCTACATCTTCTATTTTCTGTGAAGAAATATTTCAGCACTGTATCTGACAGATCCGTATTAGTGCCAGTATTCTGACAGCAAAAGTCCTCAGGAATGGAAGCTCCACTCCATATGGAAAGGATCTTTTCCCCCAACCCAAAGAAACAATGGGCACCCATAGCATCTGGACAGCTGTCATGATGAGATGAGGTATGGCCTGAAATGCCAGGAAAGAATGAAGCCCTTCTCACTGGCTGGGCACTTCCTGTCAGCCTTCTCCCTGGCTAACTTCAGTCAGACTCCCTGGCCCACTTTGGCTTCTCTGTGAGTCTGAGTGGACAGACTGACTCGGGAGATAGAAATGACCTAAATCTAGTGCACATTGCAAGTATATATGAATTATTAGACTTGAAAGGGAATTTAAAGTCCATTTTATTAAACTCTCAGGCGATTTGAGAGTTTCTGCCAAAAGAGACATTCAACGTATGCGAGCACTAGAAAAGACACTTTACGTCCCTGTTATGGACTGAATCGCATCCTCCTGAAATTCAAATGGTGAAACCCCACTGTCCAATGTGACTACATTGGGACACAGTGCCTTTACAAAGACAACTAAAGTTAATGAGGTCCTAAGAGTGGACACCTAATCCGGTAAGACTGGTGTCCTTACAGGAAAAGATACCAAGGATATGTCTGCACAGAGAAAGGCCATATTGGGACACAGTGGAAAGATGGCTGTCCTGTCAGCTTTCCTGTCCCTGGGAAATACTTGACACCCACAACTTTAAGGAGGAGAGCTTTTATATGGCTCATAGTTTCAGGGGATTCAGTCCATGGTTTTCCAGCTCCAAGGCAGACAGAAACATCATGGCAGAAAGGTGTGGCAGAAATGCTAAAAAATGCTCAGTGTGTGACACCTGGGAAGCAGAGCAGGAGAACAGTGCCAGGGAGAAAGGGGGAACGGACTGCACACAGACCTCACAGTCATACTTCGATGGCCTACTCTGACACACACAGAAATGTGCTTCAGTGATCCATGGGTGGCTCCCATGCCAATCAAGTTGACATAATGAAGCTTAATCACTACAGTGGCCATTGCCAGCCAAAGGGAGAGATTTCAGAAGGAAACAACCTTGCTGACACCTTGATCTTAAATGCTATCCTCTGGAGCAGTAACGGTGAAACTTTGAGTGTCCCCAATGATAAAAACAACCCACTGCAGCACATGTGCTGTAGGTTCACCACCACTGCTCTAGAGTGTGAAAAGTTTATTTCTGCTATGTATGTCCCCAGGCTGTGATTTTGCTATGGCAATCCTAACAGACTAACACAGGTGCTTTGTGGCCTGCAGTTAGGCTCTGTCTGCTCTTCAGAGGCATGGGGAGGAAAAATAAAATACATTCAACAGAAGACTGTATAGATTAAAAGCACAGACATTGGGACCAGTTACTCCTATATTTGAATTGTTCACTCTATTACAGGTTAAAATTTCTTGACCTATCTAGGCCTCATTTTTGCTAGTTTTAATATTACAACAATCATGTGTATCTTTCAAACTCACTTTAGCCTTCTAGTCTTAGTTCCTTCTGACCAACACTGAAGTTCAAGCATGATCCATATTTTAAACTATTTGGGGACGGGAGCAACACAGGATATGAGTATTTGTAAGAAACCAAGAAAGCTCTAGAAAAAAAAAACCTATGGAGGACATTGGAGACATAATGCTTTAAAGTACTATACAAAGAGCAAAAAGCATGGAAGAACCATGGACATAGAAACATGTAGCTAGAGAAGATGGTTATGGACACGTTAAAGATAATATTCTACTTCCCTCACTTTATATTACACTCAAGACATCCATTGTACTGGCCCACTGTGGTAACAAATGCCATGATCTTGCACTGCAGATTCCACAAAATTCAGAGTGCAGCATCATTTTTAAGAAACTGGTGTGAATTTCCGCTCCCATCCTCCCTCCTTTGCCCTGGCCTTTGCCCTGCATCACCTCATGGCATTCTGCACATGTTGAAAGTACTCAGGGCCCATGGCTTCCTGGTTCCACCACTTCCCTGTGGCCCAATTCCCTGTTCGTTCTGTCATGCCCCTAGTTTCTTTTCCTCTGGTTGCTTTCTTTTTCTTTTCACCATTGTTTTTAATTCCCCATCCCACTCCCACCCTCCATCCATTTCCCCTCACTCTCTTCCCTCTTTGTCCCCAGGAGTCAGGGGATGTTGTTAATCCACCCCCCCACCCACTCTGTGATAGGCCCTGAGAGCAGAAAAGCAGCCACCATCATGGCTCAGGACCTTTGAGTGAAGGAGGGCAAATGACCAGGCAAACAAGCAATCTCACTCAAGACAACAAAAATGAAAAAGTAAGGAGCTACAACAGTGGCCAGTGAGCCTTAGGGCTATGCCCAGGCCATACCTGGAAGGCAGAGAAGAATTCTCACTGGCAATGCCTCTTCTGGTCCTAAAAGTTAGGCCAGCCCATGATGCACAATGATATTCCTTGGTCCTAGGAAAGTTCTTTGTGTCTTAGCTATTAATACATACATAAAGTTCACTCCACAGTGTTTTAATAATTGTTATCACTGCTCAAATAATTTTTAATTAAAACAATGCCATCAGCTTCCATCTTGTGATCCAATATTGTTAGGGTAAAAGTAATCCATCTTTTAAAATTTGTACTATGAAGCCTGTACTCTCATTATAGCCTTTTTTACCAAGTGCTAACAACATGCTCTATGTTTTTATATATAATCTAATTTCTTCAAGATATTGAAGGCCTTTATACATTCCAGATTCAGAAACTAAGTCTCAGAGAAGACAATTAACTTGTTTCAAGAGCTCGCACTCCCAAATGTATCCAGAATGTCTACGCTGGTATCAGGGTCAAACTCTCACAGCTCGTGTGACTGTGGCTTTGACCTTCCCAAGCCTCAGCTTCTTCACTTCTGAAATGTAGAGAATCACAATTTCTACTTTGTAGATGAAATATTATATAATGCTATCCAGTCGTGATGAATAAAATATAACAAGAATTCTCGTCTGTCTAAGGTTCTTAGGTTAGAGAGGAGACAAACACGAACAAAGAGAACCCTCCACCCCAGGGTCTGACCATGTCCCTGGGGAGCCGTGAGACCCAGCCAGGATGGACAGCGCGTGGCTCTTGCCCCGCACAACCTTTCTCCCTGGCATTAATGTGAAAGAGTGAACGCATAAATAATGAATGCCACCTCTGACTAACTTGTCGGGACCTTTCACAAAGAACTTAATATCTCTGGGCTTCACTTTTTACATCAATCAACATTTGATTAATAATATCTCACCTGAGAGTCAAATAGAGTGTATAAAATAAATGAAAATATATAACCACCGTAAGTGGGATACAAATATAAAACGGTACCGATCCAGACAACAAAGCTGATGGAAGCCTCTTGGCTTTAGGAAATTTTCCAACAACTGACTTCATTTTACTTAAGTGTCAGGACTGACCCAGGACTACGGATTAGGCTTCTTCATAAATGGTTTAAAATTCAGATCATGGTGAACCACATTGCTGCATTTTAAGATTATTCCAGAGTTGGGGATTTTAAGGTAGCAGCCATGGGACCCTGGAAGCTGAAGGCCACCCCTGAGTCACCCTGGCCCTGGGAGTTTGGGGGAACACACTGGGCCCAGCTTCTGTCTTGTGACCTGTGGACTAGAACGGGCTTGGCTCAGCCCCTGGGGCCAGTACCTTCCAAAGTCCCCTGTAATTTCATCACAAGACTAAAATGATCATAAAGATCATGGGACAGGAGATGGAAGCAAACAATGCAGTCTCAAAGACCACATTTCCATATACCTGTACACTGCAGTTATCTGGCATAAATGTGCACACTTATGTTTCCTATTACCTGGTAAAGATGGAAATCCTACCTGTGACTGTGTAGTTCTCCCCATGGCCAGAATAGATGAGCCTCCCATCCATGTATAGAGAATACTGAGTTACAACACCATTTGCCTGGCTGGGTGGACTCCAGGAGAGTAGCAAGGAATTGGGAAAGGATTTGGCTACTGGTGACTGAACTTCTTGTGGGGCTGCGCGGGGAAAAAGGAAAAAAGATTTATAGAGTCTAATTTTAGTTTACTTTCCTAACTCAAACTTTTCAAACCTAAGCCAATAAATCACGGAATAAACCTGAAATCCCATGCATGGATATGTTCCTGATTCGCGGGCAGCTTGTCAGTAATTGCCTTAGGAAAGCGCTAAATAGCTGTCCTGAATTTATGGGGATCTGCATTGGTGATGGATGGGGAGTGCTTTCACTAGTCCACTTGACTGAAGTCTGTGTTACTTCATCAAAACTATAATAACCACAGCGTGCTGCTATGCGGGCCTGGGTCTAGGAAAGCAATTAAGCTGATAGAGCCCCATGGCCTCGAGGGGCTTGGGACCTGATGCCCATGGTTCATATAACTATTAAAACAGCCAGAAAATGGAGAATCAATTAATTATATATAGAAACTACTTTGAGTGAATTTTAATTTTTTTTTTTTCATTTTACACAGTGGTCCATGAATTTGAGGCATACGAACTCAATATTGTGAAAACATGACCCTAGGCACAAACATTGCTCCCTAGTTTAGGAATAAATTCTTCGAAAAGTTAGAAGTTTGGGACTTCCCTAATAATGAGGGAGAGAATGGATCTCTCTGAGACATGACCCTGAAGCAACTGTGAGAGGGCACCCAAAACCGGCAGGATTTCGTGGACGTGCAGAAGAGTGGGGGTCAGGAGACCCCGGTCCCACATCAGGGCTGGGGGTGGGCAGTGAGAGAAGGTGAGGACCCTGTTTGCCAGCAGATGCAAGAGATGCCGAGAAGGACCGCTATTTTCAGTAGACTGGGAAGATAGGGAAATCCTGAAGATGGGAGACCCAGTGAGGGGAGTCTGGTTAGGTCAGAAACAGAATAGAGAGGATAAAGGGCCACAATAACGTTTTTTCTTGTCACTACTTCATTGTATGGAACTGTCTTTTTTTCCCCTTTTACATCTTCTGTGCAAACAGTGCTAGCTAACCAGTTCGAGAGAGAGGAGAAGGGAAATCAGAGGGGTGAGGAGATGGATGCTAGGAAAGAGGGACCAGCTGGCTTTCCCCCTCTAAAGATCAAGCTTTTAAATCTCCTAACAACTTAACCACTGGACAGCAGAAGAAATGTGCAGTTGCTCTCATTGAGGAGATAGAAGTATGAAGTAGCAATGCTTCCCGTGTTTTGAGAGCTCTTATTTCTTGAAGGGATGTGTTCCAAGGCCGGAGCAACGCTTTCACTTTGGAGTGCGAAAATATTTTCTCTTTTCTACTGTCTCTGAATGTATGCTTTCTGAAACATTAATTTATGCCAACAGTTTGCAAGTTCCAAGTAAAACAAAAGTGAGACTTAAGTCAGAAGGAACTGAGCAGTGATTAATAATGCCTCATTTGGCATTTGGAGGTTCCATCATACTGAAATAATTGTTGCCTGGGCTGGTGTTTAGCAGTTAAAAGAGACCATGGAAATCAACCGTTTGATTCTCAATTTCATACTGTGCCATACAATCAATTCTTTTTAGTCAGACTGTCTCTAGATTTACTTCAGAGCCATAGTAAAATGAGGAAGCTTTCATTAATCTTTCAGATGCTTCATATTAATGACAAGGCTCTTGCATGAACAATGTAACAGCAATTAAAAAGCCCATTAATCTGCATTACCGCTATTAAAGATGCATGTCATTAAAGGGTATGGAGTTTGATTCATTTTCGTACCCCCCCCCCCCAAAATGGAGCAATTATGGCCTGGCAATGCACTTTGTCATCAAATTAGGTTGGGGCTTTCCAGCAAATGGCCTAGCAGCATTTAGCTCTTCTCCTATTTTATTATTCATGACTGAAATGTGGAAGTCAAGACCTTTGAAATTACTTTACCTTCTTGTGGAGTAGAGATGTTCACTGCCTGTGAGCTCTCCGTACAGCCGGCCAGGGTGCATGCAGTTAGGGTTACCGTGTAGTTTCTGAATGGCAGCAGGCCTGTCAACATACCTGCAATGACAGGGGACAGACAGGGCTAGCATGTTTACTGTGAGCATCTACAAAGAGGTGTGTGTGTGTGTGTGTGTGTGTGTGTGTGTGTGTGTGTGTGAGAGAGAGAGA